GTTTCTTTCTTATAAACTGGGCTTATGCTTTTTCATCGCAACTGTTGGCATGCCGCCGGAATCGTCTGATGTTGGGCATTCCAGCGGCCTGAGCAGAAACCTGTCGCCATCCTAAGACTCCGCCTTGAGTAATTATTTAGGGCCATATGGATTGGTTATAGGTTTTTTTCATTGCCCCGTCTCTTGCGGTAATTGTCAGCAGCTGCTGATGTATGTGGATTTGCAAGGTGCAATAATTATGCCAATTTTGGGAATATATTTTAAGGATTCCCCAATTCTTCGTGTGTCATTGAAGTGCTTCTTTAAATAATTGCAAGGAATTTACAATAAGCCGGGTTGCCGCTTAAATGTTTTAAAAACTGTTGTACATTTCCCAAGAAAGGAATAGTTAGTAAAAACAAACCAAATACATCTAAACAACCTTCAAGAACCCCCTAACCTATACCAATATTTTCCTTTCCTTGAAGTCTTATTTACTTGACACGTTTGTGTCTTTGATTTTCCAAGAAAATGGGCCAGCTGACGATTACCATGGTAAATCCTTTAGAGTTCGCCGTTGATCGATTTTGTCAGGGCATTTTCAGAATACAGCGGATCCCCAGAAATTGAATAGTTCAATAGTCTTCAATCCAGTCACGTGCCTTGTGCTTGAAATCAACTAAATTTGGGTCTTGGGTTGGGGGTTATTGACTCACCCAGGAAGATCATTTCGGGCTTCTGCGTAATTCGATCTCTAGCACATGGTTGAAAATTCGGCTACCTGGAGCAACACATAGATATTTCATTGAGATGCGTAATCCGATACGGGGTAGCTGGCGTTGAGAAAAAGATTTTAAAACAATGTGGCATAAGATGTAACTAATAGATAAATGTATTGTGGGAGTTCGGGCATTTTGTTGAACGCATGTATTATGTGACTTGGAAAATGTTTAAGGAATTGTACAGCAAACTTATATATAATCTGTGTAATTAATAGGGGGTTTGTGAGAACTGTCGCATTAAAATCACAACTAACTAAAATATTTCCCTTTACCATTTTAGTTCGCCGCTCGCCTTCTTCCTGTCCTGGTCCCAACAACCTGCCCCCGCTCCAATTCCACACCGTGCATGGCGACAACATCCGGATTTCGAGGGACGGAACCCTGGCCCGTCGCTTCGAGAGCTTCTGCGAGCGATCACCTTCTCCGCCCGTCCGGTTCGCATCAACGAACGGATCTGCGTGAAGTTCGCTGAGATCTCGAACAACTGGAATGGCGGCATTCGCTTCGGTTTCACCAGCAACGATCCCGTGACGCTGGAGGGAACCTGCCCAAGTACGCCTGCCCGGATCTGACCAACAGGCCTGGCTTCTGGGCCAAGGCTCTGCACGAGCAGTACTGCGAGAAGGACAACATCCTTTACTACTATGTCAATGGAGCTGGCGATGTGATCTATGGAATCAACAACGAGGAGAAGGGTGTGATACTGTCGGGCATCGATACGAGGAGTCTGCTGTGGACGGTGATCGATATTTATGGCAATTGCACGGGCATTGAGTTCCTGGATTCCCGCATTTACATGTACCAGCAGCAGCCAGCGGCGATGCCATGGCCGCAGTCCCGCCCAACACAGCAGATGGCCCAGCCGACTGCCAACGCCTCCTCAGCCCTGAATCCTCATCACCCACATCAGCAGTCGAGGAGATCACTGCCAGGACACACGGGGGCCATCGAGCACGACCTGGAGCGCCATGTGATGCCGTCGCTGCAGTCGCTGCACCTGGCCGGAAACGGTGGAAGCGTGGCCAGTGTGGAGCAGGCGGCCATAGCCCACGACCTGGCCAACGGACTGCCTCCCCTGCGGTACAATGCCAATGGCCGACTGATCCCCGTGCCCTTCCACAACACCAAGGGCCGGAACGTGAGACTCTCGCAGGATCGCTTTGTGGCTTCCCGCACAGAATCGGACTTTTGCCAGGGCTATGTTTTCACTGCCCGACCCATTCGCATTGGCGAGAAACTGATCGTGCAGGTCTGAAAACGGAGCAGATGTACGTGGGTGCCTTGGCCCTGGGCCTGACCTCTTGCAATCCTGCCATGCTGCAGCCCAACGATCTGCCCAATGACTCTGATTTCCTGCTGGATCGCCCCGAATACTGGGTGGTTAGCAAGGACATAGCGGCTGCTCCTCAGCGCGGCGATGAGATTGCCTTCTTTGTGGCGCCCAACGGCGAGGTGAGCATCAGCAAGAACAACGGACCCGCCGTGGTGGTGATGCATGTGGACCAGTCCCTCCAGCTGTGGGCCTTCCTGGATGTCTACGGCTCGACACAGTCGCTGAGGATGTTCCGCCAGCAGCTGCCCAACATGGTGGCGTATCCGTCGCAGCCACAGGTGAATGTGAATGCCAGCAGCTCGTCCGCCTGCAACGCTGCCTCCACGTCCCGCATGCTGCCCATGACCGAGTCGATGAGCAGTCTGAATGCCGGAGCTACTGCCAAGCTGATGCATCATCCCTCCCAGCTGAGCGTGGCCCAGAGTACGAGCACCCTGGCCTCAGCTGGCGGAGTCAATGGCAGTCGCATGATCAGCATGCCCTCCAACGGAGACATTCTCCAGATCCAGCCGAATGGTGGGGGAACCGTACTGGTGGTGAATCTGCCACCGGCCAGCAGCTCGCACGATATCAACGGACAGCTGACGGCCAGGCCCACGGCCACGGTGACCTCCAGCGGTGTCTTGGCCGGAGCCTGCTCCAGCGGCACCCTCATCAGCACAACCAGCAGCCAGTACATTGAGGTTAGTTTCTTAACTCTACGACTAAACCCCGACATTATACTAATAGTCACCCCCTTTTTCCATTGCAGCCCATTGCCAACAGCACAAATAATGCGGCCAACAAGTGGAAGGACAGCCTGAGCGACCAGCAGAGCACCGATTCGAGTGCCGAGTGCACCATCTGCTACGAGAACCCCATCGACTCGGTGCTGTACATGTGCGGACACATGTGCATGTGCTACGACTGCGCCATCGAGCAGTGGCGGGGAGTGGGCGGCGGCCAGTGCCCGCTCTGCCGGGCGGTATCCGGGACGTCATCCGCACCTACACCACGTAGAAGGGGCGCAACCGTTTCCTAGCCAAGCAACTTTTACTCGCAATCAAACCTACTAAAGCTACACATCATACCACACCACACCACACACAAGTTGTTGCATTTTGAACGCAATCAGCGCAAAGATATTAATATTGGAGAGATGGCACTATTTTTGCAGACTAAAGATGAGATGAGTTTACACACAGCTAGTTTAGGATACGAAACTGTCACCTAATTTATCCCCTACCATCTACATGTATGTTTAAATTTTTTGTGATGTTATATAAGTAAGTGCGCCTGAGAGCCAAAACACTATGTATTGTTCAATCCAATCGAGATTTCTTCGTTTTTCAATTTTTTGCAAACCTTAACAACGCACCCAGGCGTGTGGTATACTGTAAAACCAAAGTATTGTATAGGAGTTAATTGTATTTTGAATTTAAATTTGAATTGATTGAAAGTTGTTGCAAATTTACTTAGTTTTTCTCTATGTCTAAATTCCAAACGATGTGCAAAATTAACAAGCAAATATTTACGATTCTTATTTGGCGAATAATCATTTTGGTGCTAAATGTTTTAAGAGCAAAATAAAATTGTTAACGAATTTGAAAAGTTATGTTTAAGCTTGCAGCAACTACGAACGACCTTAATTTGGCAGTAAAATAGAAGAAGCAATTATTGACTACTTTCCAGCGAGGAAATGGAAAATCGACAACTCAAATATATCTGCAGCACAAAATATTAAACAAAGATTGATCAGATGAATACTTATGCACGAAAACCAAAATAGAAAATTGCAAAAGCGTGTTAAAATCTAATTTTAGTCTAGCCCTAAGTACTTAAGTTAATTTCTAGTCAACGAATTATGCTGAAGTTTCATCTAGACCGGACTTCATCCAAAAAAGGCACCACACAGAAGACGTATTAAGCACGCTAAGCAATTTTAATGAAGCCGCATTTTAAATTACACCTAAGTAGTGCACGTATTTTAAAGCAGACTTAATTATATTTAACTATAAACATAGAACAAAAGACTTGTATGTTGTACCAACAGCTTGAATGAAATATGGAAAATGGAACGCCCATCTAAATCAACCATGCAGTTAGAAAATTGCCAATAATTAATTAACAATACCAAGCAGATCAAACATGAAGGACAAGAAAAGCGGATAAAACTTTACCTAAGATTGTATTAAAACTGAAAAAAATGTAATAAGCAAAGAACACAAAGAAATATGCGAAATGGAGCGCAAGCTTACTATTTTTGTTATAAGAATGAATCCGGATAGGAGTAAATGAAGACATGTTATTGCCACTATTAATAATTAACTTTTAATTTTTTAAAGAATCATAGTTCGTAATTCTACGATACTGCGCCTAGTTATGACTAAACATTTAAATGTATTTATGAAATTATATTTGATATATGTAAGAAAACGCAATGCTGTAATACCATTAAATACTGACAACAATATCAGAATGGCCCGTTGGTTTTATTTTCGGATTGACACCAAAAAAGAAATGGAAAAATAGGGGCTTTTTGCCAAGTTCATTTTTAAATTAATGTCTAAGCAGAAAAACGCATTACAATTGAATGGCGTGGTATTTTACTTCAAGGTGGGTTAATAAATTTATTTTAAAACAAAATCTGGCAAGTTACATATGTATTAGAAAAATGTTCTTGAAGAAATAGCCGAAAATTTGTTTTATACTTGAAATGTAACGGTCATCTGGTTTAGGGATGCCACATCCGCCATCAACCATCGATGTTTTCACAGCTCTACTTTCACATCCCTAACTTGGGGTATTTTTTGACTGCCTCTTTTACTGACCCTTACGTGGCTCTTACGTTTGCTGACACTTACGTTTTCTGCACTTACGTTTGCTGTTGCTCGATATATCGATGACAAAATATCACGAATAAATATTTATTTTTATTAAAAATATCGATTTATCATTTACTTCGCGCAGTAAACAGAAATTTTATCGTGTAGGGAAAAGTACTTTAAATGGTAAAAGACGCATAAAACCAGCCCAACAAAAGTGTCTGGATAACCGGAGTATCCGCGCGCCCCCTCCAACTGTAAGTAGGTGGTGATAAAGCGGGGGAATAGCAGCTTTCTGGGCGGCCAGCAAGTACACACACTCGCACGACGTAGACAAAATATTAACCCCGACCCCTTCCACGCCCCCGCCCCCTTCGATTCCACGAACCTTTTTCCACAGAGCACAGGCGACCCAAATTACGACGAACGTTTTCTAATTACGCATTCCAAGCATGGACGAGGCGAACATACAGGACAAGGAGCGGTTCGCTAGCCGCGAGAACCACTGCGAGATCGAGCGACGTCGCCGCAACAAGATGACGGCCTACATCACCGAGCTCTCGGACATGGTGCCCACCTGCAGTGCCCTGGCCCGAAAGCCGGACAAGCTGACCATCCTCCGCATGGCTGTGGCCCACATGAAGGCTCTGCGCGGCACTGGAAACACCAGTAGCGACGGCACCTACAAACCGTCCTTCTCACCGACCAGGAGCTGAAACACCTCATCCTGGAGGCTGCCGATGGCTTCCTGTTGTGGTATCCTGCGATTCGGGCAGGGTCATCTATGTCTCCGACTCTGTGACCCCCGTGCTCAACTACACCCAAAGCGATTGGTACGGCACCAGCCTGTACGACACATTCATCCCGATGACGCGAGAAGATCCGCGAGCAGCTCTCCACGCAGGAGTCGCAGAATGCCGGCCGCATCCTGGATCTCAAGTCGGGCACGGTGAAAAAGGAGGCCACCAGTCCAGCATGCGGCTGAGCATGGGAGCCCGTCGCGGATTCATCTGCCGCATGCGGGTGGGAAATGTGAACCCCGAGTCCATGGTCTCTGGCCATTTGAATCGCCTCAAGCAGCGGAACTCACTGGGACCCTCGCGGGATGGCACCAACTACGCTGTGGTCCACTGCACAGGCTACATCAAGAACTGGCCTCCAACCGATATGTTCCCCAACATGCATATGGAGCGCGACGTGGACGACATGAGCTCACACTGCTGCCTGGTGGCCATCGGACGACTGCAGGTCACCTCCACGGCGGCCAACGACATGAGTGGCTCGAATAATCAGAGCGAGTTTATCACACGTCATGCCATGGACGGCAAGTTCACGTTTGTAGATCAGCGGGTATTGAATATATTGGGTTACACCCCACTGAGCTTTGGGCAAGATCTGCTACGATTTCTTTCATCCCGAGGACCAGAGCCACATGAAGGAGAGCTTTGATCAGGTGCTCAAGCAGAAGGGACAGATGTTCTCGCTCTTGTACAGAGCTAGGGCTAAGAACTCCGAGTACGTCTGGCTGCGCACACAGGCCTATGCCTTTCTGAATCCCTACACCGACGAGGTGGAGTACATTGTGTGCACCAACAGTTCTGGAAAGACCATGCATGGTGCTCCCTTGGATGCCGCGGCTGCTCATACGCCCGAGCAAGTGCAACAACAACAGCAGCAGGAGCAACATGTTTATGTGCAGGCTGCTCCGGGAGTGGACTACGCCCGCCGGGAGCTGACCCCAGTGGGCAGTGCTACCAACGATGGCATGTATCAGACGCACATGCTGGCCATGCAGGCTCCGACGCCCCAACAGCAGCAGCAGCAACAACAACAGCAGCAACAGCGCCCGGGATCAGCGCAAACCACACCTGTGGGCTATACCTATGACACCACACATTCACCGTACAGCGCTGGAGGACCCTCGCCGCTGGCCAAGATACCCAAATCGGGCACCTCGCCCACACCGGTGGCACCCAACTCCTGGGCTGCACTGCGTCCACAGCAACAACAGCAGCAGCAGCCCGTGACCGAGGGCTACCAGTACCAGCAGACAAGTCCGGCCAGGTCACCGAGTGGTCCAACATACACCCAACTGAGTGCCGGAAACGGCAATCGCCAGCAACCGCAGCCAGGAGCATATCAGGCGGGTCCCCACCACCCCCCCCAATGCACCGGGAATGTGGGATTGGCAGCAGGCTGGAGGACACCCACATCCGCCACATCCAACGGCGCATCCGCACCATCCACACGCTCATCCCGGAGGCCGGCGGAGCAGGACAGCCGCAGGGTCAGGAGTTCTCGGATATGCTGCAGATGCTGGACCACAGTGCGCCGACCACGTTTGAGGATCTGAACATCAACATGTTCAGCACGCCGTTTGAGTAATCCCGATCACCTCTCGATTCCCGTTTCCAGCCCCCCCCTTAACCTGTGTCTCTCTTTAACCATTTCCAAGTGCAATCCATCTTACATTGTTGAAATAGTTCAGCCAAACGCATGCAAATTGTAATCTCGTAAATAGCATTTTAAGTAATAGCGGTAGTCACGTACACGACTCTGATATCTATATTTTTGTGTGCTACGTCTTTTTCACTTCCTCCTCCCGCCTCCATTTAACCCGCTCATTGGCCGTGCAAAAGTATTTACAATTAAAGTCGTACGTTTGTTCAAAACGAAAGGGAATATACATATACATCGCTGTATAGCCTATGAATTCTAAACTTTCTCATCGATTCTATAGGATTAAGTTCATGTGTGACACGCCTTGTGCAGAGTATTCTTTTGTATTTCTCATCAAGCATTTCAAAGTTCATGCAACGTATACATATATAAATATACAATTAGTAGACTAATATACAACAAATTTATAGTTGTAAGCAACACAAGTGCACCACTTACACCTTTTCCCGCGAACAACCCATAACATTGACCCAATTTCCCCATATTATTTGCTCATTTTTCGCCAATGCAATCAAAAGATATGAGCAAACAATATTCATACTATATATACACAAATGCTTCATATGCAGCTTTTCTTTTTGTTCTTAATGCAATTTATGCAGCGACAACGAAAACTTTCAAGCTCAATACAGTGGCGCTCAAAATTATATCGCACACACAAAACAAGATCATTTGATTACGACAAGTTCAAACATTAAATTAGTTAATTAAGCTCACGTCAAGAAACAAATTTTAAACAATCTTTTAGTCGCTAAGCCCCAACTTCTGTAATTAAGCCACCACAACGATGATAATGCTTAGAACTTTGGGTATTGAGAACAAATATTTCGGTTTTTAATGAAAATAAACTTAATGTACTACAACTACGGAAGTTTGGGGATCTGTGGGGCTTATCTTTCGGCCGATTTCACCTCGCTGTCGCTGCTGCCGCCGTTCTGCTGGAGAGCTGTCCTCTGATGTCCATGCCTGGGCCTCTTCGCTGGACTGTCGACGGTGGAGCCATCAGAGGAGGTCCTGCGCTTGCTGTCGCCCTCTGTTTCCTGTTCCTCATTATCGCTGGGATCACTCTTTTCCGCTTTGACTTTATCTTCCCGCTTCTTGCGGACATTCAGCCAGGCCATCATCGTTTTGTTCATCGGTGGTTTTGCGGGTTTGGCGGCAAACTCGATGGGCTTGTTGCACTCTTCGCTTTTGTTCCGCGAATTGTTCACCACCTTGGCCACTCTATGCCACTTAAGCTCGGTGGCCGGACGCAATGTGGCCAAGGCCTCAGCATCGCTTACTCGCTTAAAGTCCAGCCAATCCTAGAGGATAAGAACATGCTTAAATTTAATCTTGGATCACAGAAGGGATCTTGGACTCACATTCATCTGCTGCTCGGTTTCGAGGATCGCGGGCATGCGGTAGTGCATCCAGGACATGATTTTGCTGGACTGGAAGGTGATGATGCTGTAGCTGTACATTTTGTCGCCGCTCTCGTCCTCCCAGACGTCAAAGAGGCCGGCCATTCGCAACAGCTTCACATCCTGGGGCGACCAGGTGCTCTTGTCGTAGATCAGGGCGTCGCCCGCCTGAGGTACAAATACCAGGTAAGCCTCTCGCTCTGAAGGCTTCTTTGCCGGACCAGCCGTCTGCCACTCATAGAATCCCTCGCAGATAACCACACAGCGCTGGCCACGTTTGAAGGACCTCGATAGAGCTTGGAGTCCATCAGGTGCTCCAGCCGGCAATTGTTGGTGGTGAGACCGTGTCGCCGGTAGTCGCCCTTGTGCCAGAAGGGAATCATGCCCCACATCATGGGCATAACCACGCGGGCGCATCTCTGATCCTCGGAATCCGAGAAGTGAGCTGCGGACACTATCACGGGTGTAATGTCGGTAGGCGCTATGTTATAGGAGGCCTGATAGCGCCTTCCCAGGTTGAACTCCGCCCGCCACTCGGGAGTCTCCAGGTCAGACCCTTCCTCATCCTTAACTTTATCATCGTCCTCTTTGGATTCCGGCTCCTTTTTGATGGTTTTCTTGGGATATTTACAGGCACACAAAACTTCATCCGGATCTAAAGTTCTAAAAAGGCGGTTAGTATTGTTTTAAATAGTATGACTAATCTACATACAGGCAAGTGCGGCCACACATTGATATAATAAACAAATAATTAATTTTCAAACAAAAGTGTAAACAAATAAGTATTTTTTGGATTTTAAATCATTACCAGGGACGGACAAACAGGTGTCTGCTGGGACTATCGATAAGTTAGCGATGACTCCCACCTATATACTCAAGTCTGGTATTTTTCCTGGTATACACCAAACTATACCAACTGTACGGTCCCACCAAAATGTTGGAGACGTTAGCCAAGACACCCTTATCCATTCAGGTGGGACCTTACTGTTAGTGCTAAAATACCGAAGTCTTTGTGTACTAAATATACCAGAGTATTAAGAGTTAATCCTCCTCTGGTCACACCAAGTCCCATCGCAAAAAAAACAAAACAGCACTATATTTTCCTGCCAGTTCTAAGGTAACCAAAGCAAAATGGGCGAACGCTACAACATCCACAGCCAGCTGGAGCATCTGCAGAGCAAGTACATCGGCACAGGACACGCGGATACCACCAAGTTCGAGTGGCTGACCAACCAACACCGCGACTCTTTGGCCAGCTACATGGGACACTACGATATTCTGAACTACTTTGCCATTGCGGAAAACGAATCGAAGGCCCGAGTGCGCTTTAATCTCATGGAGAGGATGCTACAGCCGTGCGGACCACCGCCAGAAAAGCAAGAAGACTAAGCAATCAATTTAAAAACATTAAAGAAATTTATAAACAAGAAAACGGCATTTACCAGGGGTGGAATTTCCGATAATTTGCCAAACATCGATATTAATAAAAACATCAGGAGACATCGAGAAGTATCGTTTGTTTAGCACCACTAAGAAAAAGCTTTTCACTCGATATAATAACTTATTTTCGTTTCAATTGTTAATTTTCGAGTGCTAGTTGCTTTAAAGTATCCGTAAAATAGCCAATGCTGCACCAAAGCAAAGTACGTTGCCGTGTTTTCCCCACCAACCAACCCAACCCAAAATAACCCACTAAAACCCGCACGAAAACGCTGTTCGAGAAAACGGTAAAACTGCAATACAGCAGCAGCCACAACAACAATAACACGTCGGGAGCATCTTGTGCGAAAATTCGCGGCGAACAAAAGAGAGATCCCAGGCGCAATTGGCAATTGCGTAGAACACACATATAGGTGTCTGTGCCCGTAGACACACGGCACACCAGTGCAAGTGACTGTGTGTATTGGTCAAGATGAGTGCACGAAAATTGCGCGCCGATGAATGATGTGCCTAAAAACAAAAAAACAAGAGCAAAAGGCCAGCAGGGCGACGCATTAGCTTATAAATAGTGCCGAACCAAAGCAGGCCTACTGTTATTTCCCAGCTGCCCAATCAGCCTGTCTGCCTCTGCCCAAAGTTCTTGCGAAAGCTCTTTTTTTGCTAGTAGACCCAGACCGTGCCTATTGACATGGCCGCAACTGTGGCCTGGCACTGCGGCGTTGCCAGACGTGCGCGAGAAAAAGCGTAATTCACCAACTGAGTGCTCATGGCATGATTAACGAAAAGTCTGCATATTTCCCCCGTGTGTGTGGCTGCAAATGTTTATAAACAATAGCTGTAATAACAATAAGCAACAATAATCAGTATTTGCGAGCTGGCCCCAGTGAATACGGCAACACTCGCGCATATCTGCGCTTTGCTTTTTGGGGAGCACAGGGCAGGCGAAGGCGACGAGGCATCGAGAGCGGGGTGAGGAGGCAGCAATGGGGGCATAAAAAGCCCACGACATCGTTGAGTTGAAAATTTTCGCGAAACCGAAAAAGTTAAAAATAAATGTTTACTGTGCAGCGGCTACGCGGCTGCGGGGAAAATCGCAATTAACCCCTCAGCGCCCCCGAACACCCTAGTGTTAAATGTAATTTTTCGATGGCTCGCGCTCGATTGTATTGAATAATTCGTTGCCTCATTGTATGGGGAGGGGGTGAGGCCGTGGCGGAGGCGGTGGCGGGGTGAAAGGGAGCCCCTCTTTTTCGTGTGCCTCTCTCCCCACCGCCTTTCGCAAGGCAAACGGAACGGCGCAAAGAAAGAACCGTAATCGTGGGCAATAGAAACGAAGAGAAGCGAAGGGAAAACAAAAGAAATGCCATGTCCTTCTCCTTTCCCCCAAATTGTTTGTCCTGGAATTCGCGATTAGTTTTCCAGTTCCCCATTCCAGTTATTAAGTTTAAATCCTGGAAGGTGATTTCTGGACCTTTATTCTAAAAATCCTACGACTCCTTTGTTCCAGCTCCTCCGAATCTAAAACCAACTCCTGGAATCCTCCGAATCCGAAGCCTGCACGAAACCCACATAGAACCCGCACATAGCTCGAACTAGGAAGCAAGTGAATCATCTGCGGGAGCCGCTCTCCTGATCGCTTGGAAGTGGAAGCGAAGCCTACTGCCGCTGCTGAATAATGAGTCGACATGAAGGTGGGTAACAAAAGCAACGCCAACCTGGATAACCCCTAATTCCAACGCCCTATAATCCCAATCAGGTGTCAGCTGCGATTCATGTCTCAAGAGCAACTTCAACGGACGGCGCTACAAGTGTTTGATCTGCTATGACTACGACCTTTGCGCCGATTGCTACGAGGATGGCGTCACTTCCACGCGCCACTGGTCGAGCATCCCATGCAGTGCATCCTCACCCGCTCCGACATCGAGCTGTATTTCGGCGGCGAGATGCTAACCTCGGACCAGCCGCAGAGCTTCACCTGTCCCTACTGCAAGAAGATGGGCTTCAGCGACGCCACCCTGCTGGAGCACGTCTCCGCCGAGCACACGGAGACCAGTCTGGAGGTGGTCTGTCCGGTCTGTGCCGGTCTGCCTGGCGGCGAGCCGAATCTAGTCACAGATGACTTTGCCGGTCACCTCACCCTGGAGCATCGCCAGGGGCCGCGCGAGCTGATTTCCTTTCTGATATCCTTTTTCAAGCAAAAACATACATATTATTTGGGTATAGTGCCCAGCTGCATCTCTAGGCACAAGGTCTCAGGGTATTTTTTTTTAAAGAACTGCTGTAATATACAAATAACTGATAACTTATTTAGATATATTTTATTTTACTAAATTTTTGACAAATATTTAAATTTAAAATGTAGCCTGAATTTCGGAATTCATTATAAGTCATGCTATTACATGATTAGCGGTTACAAACAGAGCTCCCCATTTTACAAACTGTTAAAGAAAGATTAATAGTTTAGGATCCGATGACACCGACATTGTGTTCTGACTCAGAAAGTGAAAGTTCAATAATTATGAGTTGACATTAAAAAATTAAATTCCATATTTTTCAAATTCGGCAATGAAATCAACTTGACCTATTTGGCCACCATATAACACATCTGAGACAGAGCCTGAGCTTGATTATTTTTTTTTTATTTTGAGTTGAGACTGACAGGGTAGAGAAAAATAATTAAGAAAAATTATGATCTGCTTACACACAATTGTAGAGAAATTTGAAATTGGACAAAGCAACTATTTTGCCTTATGCTTCGAATAACAAGCAGGTAGAAGCGGTTTGATTCAGTTTGGGTTGGTTCAATAATATGACTAGAATTTTGTAGAACTCTCTGTTTATTTTTTAAGACTAGGTTTTATTGCGCTAATAAACAACCTCAGATTTTATTGGCTTGTCTGCAACGAGCCATTTAAGTATCCATATTTAATTTTACGCTAGCTACACAGCCAAACCTTGAACAATCTGCGATGCAGCTAAAGGCATTTAATTTGTAAAATATTTCAACTAATTATAAGATAACTTTTGTAAACGCAAACCCATGGTTGCCTTAACCTGTAGACTATACGACGAGCCCTCGGCCATCCGTCATGGCGGTGGAGTACGTCGAATCCCAGGACGCACCCTCGGCGGACCGCGGACACGTCGCTCCAACATGCACTTCAGCTCGTCGAGCGGACTGTCGGCCTTGTCGCCCTCGGGACGGGAATCTGTGGATCCCATTGCGGAACTGCTGTCGCAGCTTTCAGGAGTGCGGAGGGGCGGTCCGCCCACATCGCAGCTGCAGCAGCTACAGATGCAGATGCAGTTGGATCGCCAGCAGGTGACGGTAAGGAGGGTCCTCCGCCCCATATATCCATTATATTTGTGTGTATAAGGAAACTGCGACTTTCGTTCGTTTTGCTTTTGCGCTTGCATTATTTTAGGCATCGCGCCAAATCGATCGGCTGCCAAGGCGTGCGCATCCCATAGTCTCAACATCGAACTCGAATGCCGCCATGGCCGAGGTGATCAGCGGAGGAGCAGGCGGAGTGGCGCAGTTGGAAGCGGAAGTGGCGGAGGCAGTGGGGGCACGGCACCGCCCAACCTGCGCACCACCGAGTGGCCGGTGACAGCCAGCTTCTCGACATCGGCCAGCAATCATTCGCAGACTCAGTCGAGTCTGGCCGCCAACAGCCTCAATGCCAGAGAAGTAGTTCATCCCGCTGGCCAGCATACCCTGTGACCAAATGTCCACTAATCCCCCATGTCTTGTTCTGCAGGCGATCGGAACGAGCAGCAGTGCAGCCAGCAATGCCCTGGGCATCAGTTTGGGCGTCGGCGGAACGGCCAACGGCAACGGCGGAGCAGGTTCATCCGGAGTGGGAGCTGGAGCTGGAGGAGCCGGCCAGGCGGGTGGTCAGGGTGCAGCGGCAGCTGGCGAGTCACTATTGCTGGCCCAGTTCATGCAGCCCACCCTCAGCGAGGCCGAGTGGGCGATGGTGGAGAGCATGCGAGCAGATCGGTGAGTGTTCCCCATCTGGCAGAATTGCTCGCGATGTTCCTCTGAAATGTGTTTTTTTTTATAAGATTTAATACTAAGTATTTGAAAACATTTTGTAAATCTACCACGTCTTTGGAGGGTTTCGAAAAACCACACTATGACCTGTCCCTGTCTCTCAACTAATTTAATTCTTCTCCGTTTAGCTCCATGTTTGTGCAGTCGCTGATGCTATCGATGCTCTGCAACGAGGCGCTGGACTTGAATGCCTCCGAGGAGAGCCTGGTCAAGAGTGATAATGTAAATAAGGGGCAACAGCAGCAGCAGGAGGACGCCGAGGCCGAGGCGCAGGCGGAGACGCTGCTGAACAACAATGCCGATGCGGAGCAGCAGCAGCA